TGCACTCTGCAAATCTCCCGAAACGGGTCCGTTTTTCATCCCCCCCCCAAAAAAAAGCCTTTAGGAGGCTTCCAGAGTGCTCCTGGGGGCTGGGAAGGGCAGAAAAGAGCGAAAAATGGGCCACTTTTTGCTCGTTTTTGCCCCACCCCCCAGGAGCACTCTATAAGCCTCCTAAAGGCTTTTTTTTGGGGGGGGGATGAAAAACGGACCCGTTTCGGGAGATTTGCAGAGTGCAAAAACTTTTTTTAAAAATTTGCCTCTTCAAAATCTTGGTGCGTCTTATACTCCGAAAAATACGATTAAGTTTGCTGGTTTTGAGTCCACGCTTTGTATCCCCTAGTATTATGGATAAGAAACAGCTTCTAAAGCACAGCTGATGGTCAGAGAGAGAAGCAGGGGAAATTGCTCCACTCGTTAGCGCCTCATTAAGGCTGAAAAAAAGATATATTTGGAGTATCAAAACAAGCGCAAATTTTCAGCCTCTTTTCGGGGAGGGAAAAGTGCGTCTTACACTCCGAAAAATACAGTAAGTCTCAAATTCGGAGCTTCCCTGGACTCTTCAATATTTGAGGGGCTTCCCCCCCAAAAGAGGGGGGTTCAGTTCGTTTTCCAAAGCCCCCGAAGGCAGGACAAGAAGCGACGGATGGAAACTCACCAAGCAGAGAAGCAACCTGGAATTCAGGAGAACTTTCCCGACAGGGAGGACAATTAGCCGGTGGAACAGCTTGCCACCAGAAGTGGCGGCTTTTAAGAAGAGACTCGGACAATACAGGGTTTCCTGCTCGAGCGGGGGTGGGGGGTGAACTAGGAGACCTCCAGAGCTCCCTTCCCTCTCTCTCCTTCTGTTGTTCTGATCTCCTCCTCTGCTTGCCCCGCCAGGTTACATCCAGCGTCGGCTGATCAAGTCCATGGAGTCGGTCATGGTGAAGTACGACGCCACCGTCCGCAACTCCATCAACCAGGTGGTGCAGCTGCGTTACGGCGAGGACGGGCTGGCCGGGGAGAGCGTGGAGTTCCAGAACCTGGCTACCCTTAAGCCTTCCAACAAAGCTTTTGAGAAGAAGTGAGTCCTCTGGAGCTGCTGAGGGGCCAGGACTTCGGTCTCTTTATCTGCCGGGGTCTTCTGAGTTTCCTTGCAAGGGGCATTAATTTTCTTTTTGGAGGAAATAGCCCTTAGACCAGTGTTTCCGAATCTTGGCAACTTGAAGATGTCCGGACTTCAACTCCCAGAATTCCCCAGCAGTGGTTAGGACAGTGTTTCTCAACCTTGGCAACTTGAAGATGTCCGGATTTCAACTCCCAGAATTCCCCAGCAGTGGTTAGGACAGTGTTTCTCAACCTTGGCAACTTGAAGATGTCCGGATTTCAACTCCCAGAATTCCCCAGCAGTGGTTAGGACAGTGTTTCTCAACCTTGGCAACTTGAAGATGTCCGGATTTCAACTCCCAGAATTCCCCAGCAGTGGTTAGGACAGTGTTTCTCAACCTTGGCAACTTGAAGATGTCCGGATTTCAACTCCCAGAATTCCCCAGCAGTGGTTAGGACAGTGTTTCTCAACCTTGGCAACTTGAAGATGTCCGGGACTTCAATTCCCAGAATTCCCCAGCCAGCATTCGCTGGCTGGGGAATTCTGGCAGTTGAAGTCCGGACATCTTCAAGTTGCCAAGGTTGAGAAACACAGTTGTAGTATGTATGGGAAAGGCATTTCCGGGACAGTTACACTGTGGCCAATGTTTTAATGTGTGTTTAATTTAAAAAAAACTTTTTTTAAAAAAAGGAGGAGGAACCTGTGGACGTTATCTTGGTCCACGGGACGCTAGGAACAGGTGTTATCAGAAGAAGAGAATTGGAAGGGACCTTGGAGGTTTTCTAGTCCAGCCCCCTGCTCAAACAGGAGACTGTATCAGTTCAGACCAGTTGGCTGGCCAGTCTCTTCTTGAAAACCTCCAGTAATGGAGCTTCCAGAGGCAACTTCTCTTCCATGGGTTGATGGTTCTCCCTGTCAGAAAATATTCCTCCTTATTTCCAGGTTGAATCTCTCCTTGTTCAGTTTCCATCCATTCTTCCTTCTCTGGCCTTTGGGTGCCTTGGAGGATAGCTTGACTCCCTCTTCTTTGGGGCAACCCCTGAGATATTGAAACACTGCTATCATGTCTCCCCTGGCCCTCCTTTTCATTAAACTAGACCTACCCAGTTCCTGCAACCGTTCTTCCTATGTTTTATCTTTCAGTCGCCTAATCCACTTGGTTGCTCTTCTCTGCACTCTTTCCAGAGTCTCCGCATCTTTTCGACATCGTGGCCACCAAAACTCAGTGCACTTTCCCAAGCGTGGCCTTCCCAAGGCCTTGCAAAGTGATGTTAACATGCGTTTCCCTCCTGTCACAGGTCGTCCTTCCTTGCAACCTGCTGCGCATGATCTGGAACGCCCAGAAGATTTTCCACATCAACACGCGGCTCCCCTCCGACCTGCACCCCATCAAGGTGGTGGAAGGTGAGTTGGGGTGGGAGGGCGGTGGAGGGTGGAACCAACGCTGCCTTTAAAAAAAAAATGTTTATGATCGCTTTATTATTTTTAAATTCTTTTTTTTAAAAAAAAAATTTCTTGACATTGTGTTTTTATGGTCTGGAGTCACCGTGAGCGAGGTGGCAGCTCTGCAGCTGGTCCTCATCTTACGACCTCAGTTGAGGCCGTGATTTCTGTTGGGAAGCGAAACATTTGCTAAGTGGGTTTTCGACCTTTCCTGCCACTGTTGTTAAGCGAATGGGGCTCTTTCCCCCGCCGGTGGTCAGAAGGTTCCCAGGGACGCTGCGACCGTCATAAATACGAGTCAGTGGCCAAGCGCCTGATTTTAATCATGTGACAATCCCCCCCCCTCCCCGGGGGAGGATGCTGTGACCAATGTTCCCTCTAATTTTTTTTCAGTGTGAGCGGGAAAGTATAGTGTTTGAGCGGCACAGTTTCATGCCTGAGCACCTAAGAGAGCAACAGTTGGAACTGCTGGCGCGGCTGCTGGACATTTGCACAACATTCCAAGCGTCAAGCGCCGATTGTGAGCGAGGTTTCAGCCTGATGAATGCCAGGCATGAAAAGTGCCACTCAAACATTATACTTTTCCGCTCACCCTGAAAAAAAAAAGGCTCTCTGCTCAGCTTTTAGATTGCTAGACTGGCTAGAGAGAGACATGGCACCAACAGGGTCCTGGGTCCTGGCATTTTGCAGGCAACCTGTCCTCTCACATTCCTTTGGAATGCAACCCATCACATGTGAATTAGATTTTGCCAATTATCCTATTAAAAGATAACGCTATTATTCTAAAATACGACTAACTCGATATTAAAAACTGTAAATATGTAATGCTGGTAAATAATAGCAGTAATTGTTATTTAGTATGATTAAAATCAGTATTGATATATCAATATAATATCTATCGAAATTGACAATATACACTAAAATAACAAT